CACCAGGTCCAGCAAGGCGTCTCCCCTGGTGGGGCTGTGCACCCCCTGGGTTAGATGGAGGTCCTGCATTTGGGCTAGGAACCGATGTGAGCGGTCAGACCTGGCTGACTGCTCTTCCCAGCAGATGTCTGGAAAGTTCAGGTCCCCCATGATGACCATGTCCTTTGACCTAACTACCTCTGTGAGCCGACTTAAGCATTTCTGGTCCAGCTCTTCCCCTTGGTTGGGAGGTCTGTAGTAGACCCCACCATTAAGTGTCTTTCCCCTCGACTGCCTTGCATCCTAACCCAGAGCACTTCCGTGTGCCCTCCTCTGACCCTGTGCTACATGGTGAGGATGTGTATTCCTCCTTAATGTAGAGCACCACCCCCCGCCCCAGCTTTCCTCCCTGCCCTGTCCCTCCTGTACAACCTATAGCCCTGTTACCTGCTTGCATTTCACAAGCTCTGTCTCTGGGAACATGAGCCTGGCTTGTGACTGGGAGACCTCTCGGGCAAACCCCAGCGTCTGCTGGGAGTAGTGCTGGTGGACATTAGCTCCATGCCAGGACCAAGCCAGTGCTCCAGTGGGGAGCTAGGGGCGTGCTGCCTTCTCTGATGATCCCTCTGGCACACCTGGGAAGGGAAGGGGTGTTAGCTTCATTTCCTTGGGGGTAATTCCCTGATGCACTTCCATTTGGGTCTGAAACCTCCTGCTTCCTGACCCCCACCCCCTACATAGCCTTGCTATGCGCTGCTAACAGCTGCCGTGCTACACTCCAGACGCAGCTGCATTCCTGCAGTGAGGTGAGACAAGGCCTGCTAGCGTGTGGCAGGTTGTTGTCAGGACAGAAGACAGGGTTGAAGCACCGAGTTGCTTTGCTCAGGAGGACTGAACAGTGGAGTAGGACAGTGCCCCTGTCAACAAGTTAATCTCCAGGAGAGCTGCGTTGTGCCATTGGCACTGCTAGAGACACAGTCTTTACTTGAGCAAAACACGCCAGGGTTTATTATAAGGACATCCAGTGCCTGGCTGTTGACTTCACTGACATGCCTCTCTCTAGAGCTGCAAACACCTTGGCAGTGCAGCCTTCCTATAGGGGCCCAAACCATCCTGCTGCCCCCAGACACAACCCTCATTTGCAAGGCCCCCGCTGCACTCAGGGGGAGCAGGCAGATCCTGATCGCCCAAGCACAGGCAGGGAGTGAGCAGCCCCGAGCTCCTAGGACCAGCTGGAAGCTCCCGGGCTCCTGCGGTGGCTTGGGGCTGTGCTGTGGCACACAGTGCTCTGGATCCCAGCACCTCCTGCCCCCTCAAAGCAGAGAGAAGCCTGTAGCGTGTAGTAGGCCTGGGGTGGAGCTCCCGGGGCGATGCTGGCGTGGGGCAGGGTGGAGGGGGCTGGCATTTGGCTGTGGGGAGGCCTGGCTGTGCAGGGTGGGGGAGGCACACAGCTGGGTGTGACATGCTCATGTGACGGTTGTTCTCTCCAATTGTTCTGCTCCCTTCACAATGGCAGATGATTGTAAGTACGGCAGCTCCCTGTCTGTCTGTCTGTCTGTCCGCTGTGTGTTGGTTTCAATCTCGGCCAGTTATTGTCTTGTGTGGCTGCCCGCGCCCTGTCCCGTCCCCTTTCCTTCCCTTCCCCAAGTGCCTTCACCTCTGTTACCCCCTGTCGCTGAGCTGCTTGGCACCGACTTTGACTTTTAGTGAAGAGCCCTCTCCCTTGTCAGGCTTCTGGGCTCAGCTCTGGGCAGTGATGGGGTTTCCCAGTGGGGCTGGACAGTGCTGTGGAGCACACTGGACAGTGCTGAACACATGTACAGGGATGGACTGAGGGGGCAAGGGCTGGCAGGCTGGGTTGTGGGGAGGAGCAGCCTGTCTGAAATCGGTTTGCTCCATTGGAAGATGCCTGGCGAATGTAAGCTGCTGCGGGAAGTGACAAGGCAGAGAAGGAGCCAATGCCTTGACTTAGCAGGCCAGCTTCACTCAGTCACACTAGCTACCTTGCAACCCAGGACCTCTGAGCTTCTGCTACCAGCCCTGGTACCTTGGCAGAGCCACTGCCTCTCTCTGTGCAGCTTCCTGGTACAAATGGTGTTAAGACTTAGCAGTGCTAATGCAGTGCTTTGGAAAGGCCAGACCCGGTTGTGAGTGTGATGATGGGGAC